CCCAGAGACTGAAGCGGAGAAATAAATAGCTCCACATCTCCATCCCCCGAGCAGCACAGCCCCATGAGCCAGCGCTGCCCCCAGGAGCCGGCGCTGCCTGGGGGGGGCTGGAGCGAGGCAGCTGCTGCACCGCAGCCCCTCACCCACCTACCCGCACAGCCCTGCTCACCATGGTGCCTGGCCACCCACACACGCAGCCCCGGTGGCCTCAGCGCTGCAAGGCCGGAGCGCAGGGTCCAGCAGACACTGGCTCCTGCCGCCTCGCCCCGCAGAGGTCATGCCAGGACCCCGTCTGCCGAGGCCCCCCAGTGCTGGCTTCCCACGTGCTGCTGGGGACGGGAGGAGGCCAGCCAGGTCGGCACCAGCTAGCAGAAGCAGCAACGGAGCCATGTGCTGCTCGGGACTGACTGGTGCAGGCAGGGGAAAATGCAGCTCAGCCCCTGCCGCTCTGGCCAGGCTCGTCCCATCCCAAGCGGCACACGGCTCTGCTGCCGCTTCTGCTGGCCGGCACAGACCCGGCCGGGCTCCTTCCGTCCCCAGCAGCTTGCAGGGGAGCCATGTGCCACTCGGGACTGATCGGCGCAGGTAGGGGGAAAGTGCAGCTGAGCCCCCTCCTGCTCCGGCTGGGCTCATCCTGTCCCGAGAGGCAAATGGCTGCTACTCTTCCTACATGCACCGCATCAGCAACATCAAGCTGACGCGGTGCGTGTGAGAACCTTGTCCCTTCCCCAGCCCTTCAGCAGCCATTAGGAAGCTGCTGAGGGGCTGGGGGAGGGACAAGGGGGGAGAATGAAAGTAAACAGTGTTTACTTTAGTTTCCCGTCGCAGCACTGCGGGCCTCAGAAAATGCCTTGGTGGGCCACATGTTGGACACGCCTGAGATAGTACCTTTATTTGCTGATACCAGCAAATGGTGCACTAGACTAATTTAATGCACAACTCCAGCACACATGTAGACAGTGATGCTTTACTGAGCGTTAGACTAATTAGATTATATTATATTTAGATTAATTAGAGTAGTCTAATGCACAGTAAAGTATCCCATGTAGATACACCAAGTGTGTGTCTGTTACACCCAATGATTTCAAGGAACGTTAGCTCAACCTATAAGAATATGCCTTGGGTTCATGTTACTTGCTTCTAGTTTCCATCCCTTGGGTTATAATCAGATAATATTTTCAAAATGGCCTTTGTAGCCACAAGGATTGGAAATTTCCTTTTACAATAAAAAATAAGATTTTAACATAGTCATATGAGTCTAGGACTTGGGCTTTAAGAAAAACACAAAGGTCATGAAAGTTGATGAGACTGCTTCCTTATTTCTTTGTTCCGTGCCACTGAAAAACAGATGTTCTAGTCTGACAGTGATGATTGGTTTGATGTGTAGGTAAGGCATTCCATCCATAATTCTGCTTGGAGGATTATGTATTGTATTTCCAAGGTCCCTATTACCATCACTACCCTTATAAATGGTGTGAGCTGTTTTGGGGTTGGTTTGTTTTCTGTGTATAATCTGCAGCAATCCGCTTATTTTGTATTTAAAATCTTTTCTCAGCTGTTTGTTTCTCCTTGCAAGTAGCTAGTTGGCAACATGATTCTTGATGCTTAACTCTCAGAGAATGTATGTCCTTCCAGAATAGGAAGATGCTAGTCCTTCAGTCACACACAATACAGTAATGAAAAACACTGATCTAAAATTTAAAAAAAGTGGTCAAGTACTGAAAAACTTCTGGTGAAAATAAATGATGTTTCACAACATCTCTTATCTGAATCCCCAAGAGCCCTTTAGCAAATATTATATAGGCCTTACAATCCTTCTACATTACCCTGCTACCTGAGATGAGCTGAATCTACAGTAAGCTGACAGTCTCTAGAGATAAACCTGTGGAGGCTGGATGAAGTTAAATTTTAGTGGACAGTTTTTCTCTTTTGGTAAAAACCTGATGGAACCAATAGCTCCATTCTGTGGATCATTTTGATGAGAGAATTATTTGGCCCTAGGTTCAGGAATCAATACATCACATCACAATTTAAGATCAGATTCTGTAATTCTTCCTTATGTGAGTAAAATGTCACCTGCATGAGTATTCCCACTGAACACAATATTTGTCAACACTACCATTAAAGAACAATTCAGGTATGTGACAGTAACTACTCTCTCCCAGTCTCTCAATTTTAATGCCTCAAGAAGTTTAGTAACCACAGTCAGGCTTAGGCAGACATTAGCAGCTGGCTCTCAACTAAATAAGGTTGGATTGAGCCACAAAAACACAATTACAAATAAAGCATGGTGCATTGCTGAATGACTTTAAGAGCATCCCACACAAGATTTTTTTTTTTAAAGGAACTCCAATCCTATCTCTGCACTCTCCTAACTAGGCCTGTACAAAGCAGCAAGTATTTGATTGAGATTCTGCCAATTCAGAGGGAGAGTGATTCGATTCGGCTCCAAAGATTTGGCGCCAATTCGGAGACTCAGCCATAGACTAAACAGGCAGCAGTCCTCGCCACACTGGACACAGCTGCCTCCAGCTGGTAAGTCTGTTGTGGGGGGCAGAGAGGGGAGAGAAGAGGTGTGTGGGGGAGATCAACACCCCCATAGCAAGGGAGGGATTGGGGCTGGGGCTGGGACAAGCCACCATGCTGGGGTGGGGGGGCACAGGACTTGGGAAGGGGGGCTCCCACCACTGCACGCCACCAGTTCAGGAGGGCATGGAAGTGGGCATGTGCCCCCAGATCTGTGCGGGGTGGGCTGGGGTGGGCTGCGCTCCAGATGGGCGGCAGAAGGTGCTGGGAGTGGGGGCTATGTCCTCCCACCACTCGCCCAGCCTCACCATGCCTCTCGGACAAACTGCGGCTTTGTTCCAGCTGGGCAAGTAGTGGCAGGGCATGGGGCCGGGTTCATGCACCCAGACAGGGGAGGGGCCAGCAGGGCAGGAGTGCTCCACTGCGCTCTGCACGGTGAGCGGAGCCAGGGCTGCGCGCCAGGCTGTGGCTGGGTCTAGCCACCCAGAGCACAGCCCTGGCTCCACCCACCCCATGGAGCACAGCCTGGTGGCAGGCAGCTGGAACTAGCCTCCTGGAGCACAGCTCAGCCCAGCTGTGCCCCTGCAGATCCTGGGGCACATCCCCGCACCCATGACCTCCCAGACCAGAAGCACGCAGCAGCGCGCAGTGGCAGAAGCCCCTCTCCCTGAGTCCTGCGTCCCCCTGCCTCAGCTGGGCAGCTTGTCCCAGCTCCAGCCCCAATCCTCCCCTTGCTGTGGGGGTGTTGATCTACCCCTCCCCCCCAACCCTTTCCCTCCCCCTTCTGCCCACCACAACAGACTTACCAGCTAAAGGCAGCTATGTCCAGCGTGGTGAAGACTGATGCCTGTTTAGTCTATGGCCGAATCTCCGAATTGGCACTGAACCCTTTTCGAATCGAATTGGAAGCCTCCGAATTGATTTGGAGATTCAGTCTCTGAAACGGGCCAAATCTCCTCCGAATCAAATCAGTTACCGAAGCTTCACACAGTCCTACTCCTAACTAGAGTCCGCAGCACATTACTGTACCGCTGTAGCCCACTGTCTGTTTTGCTGACTAGGACACTAGTAGCAGAGACAAGGCTTTACCCCCGGACAATTAAGGAAGAATAGCAAGTCACTGCAGGTCTGGTCCCAAGGTTTGAACAGGCCATCCAAGAGAGTAAATAAAGTCCAGCCAATGTATAATGACTTTAATAAAATTGTAGGATGTGACTTGATTATTCACAAGAGCCACAACGTAACGTTATTAGTTAAGAACATAATATTTGCCATTTACTGGGTCAGACCATAGGTCCATCTTGCCCAGTACTGTACGTCACACAGTGGCAGAAAGTAGATGCTGAAAGGGAGAGCAAACTAGGGATGAGCAGGGTTTTTTTCCTCCCACTGTTCCTCTCTCACTTGCAACTTCCACCACTTAAGGTCTAGGAAGTTCTAATTCAGAGACTGTACCCCTATCTCCCATGCTCAATACCTACTGACACCCCTTTCCTCCAAGAATCTGTCTAATCCCTTTTTGAATCTGGCTAAACTGTCAGCTTCCATGACATCTGGTGGCAATGAGTTCCACACTTTAATGACAAGCTGCATAAAAAGAACTTTCTTTTATTTGTTTTCAACTTACTATCTACCAATTTCATTGTGTGGCCCCTAGTTCTTGGATTGTGAAAGAGAATCAATAATAAATCCCTACTGACTTTCTTTTTCCCATTTTGTACTCCTTCCCCACCCCCCCAAAGCGCCTCTTCACCTAAACTGAATAGGCCTGGCCTATTTATGGTTGTGCAGAGCAGTGAAGACACACCCAGTACTATTTTATTCTGACCAAAGGATTTAAACACATGAAAGCAAATGTTAAGAGGTTTTTCTTTTTCTTGGGAAGTTGTACCTGACTAAGACGTGCTTCATTAGCCCTGCTACTCTTGCTATTAATTAGTACCACTCTTACCAGGAAAGCACCCTAATGAAAAAAGCCCACTTAATTTTAAATGTACCTTAAAGCTGTGCCTGAGCATTTTCTTGACACCAGACGAATATGATCAAGTGTAGTCACTGCACTCTGATACCCAAGCCAAAATGGATTTCAATGGCAGTGTGTAGTGGAGGGAGCACCCCTGTTCAGATATGGACTGAACTCCCTATGAGAGCCTCATAGTTAGCTTCCCACTGGCCAGCTTTCAGTGGGAGCATCTCGGCTACCTGCCAACTTTATGGAAATGGGAGAGTCCTCCCTAGTTTGCTCCTGCGGCCATTGGCTGAGGGCAAGTGAGACTCAGGGGGCATCTGAACCCCAAGCCTCTGGGTTTAGGCCTGCCATGGATTTGGAAGTATCTGAATCCCCAGGCTGAAGAGTCTTTGATGGAGGATACTTGCCGGTTGCAGCGCCACATACGGCGTTTAAAGGACTCAGAATTGATCTGGCTAATTTGACCTGGACCACGAAAACATTTCCAAAATAATAAAAACCAAACCCTGTAGGATTCTGATGCAGACTGGAAGCACTGCTGCTTTCACCGCCCTCGCTAAGCTGGGGTTTGTTGAGGGGTCCTCTTCCTCTGGGACTCTTCCCGGGCCGGGCCCTGGCTACTGCCAGCACTGCCACCCCGGGGCCGCAGCAGGCAGCGGGAGGCGCAGCAGCCCCAGCCCCAGCACCGCTCCCGCAGAGGCCCCGCCCCTTCCCCTCTGACCCCGCTGTCTCAGCGTTCCATCTTCCTGTTCCAAACCACGTGGGCGCGCTGGGCACTGCGGGGCATTGGTGCCGCCGCCGTGATCGCTGCAGCGGTGGGGGTGGCTGCTTGCTTGGCTGGGCGGCGGGATCATGGCGGGGCAGTCGCCTTCCCTCAGCTACATGGGCTGCAACTTCCTCCGGCAGAGGCTGGTGCTGGCCACGCTGAGCGGGAGGCCGGTGAAAATCCGCCAGATCCGGGCCAAGGAGGAGGATCCCGGCCTCAGAGGTATCTCCCTGCCCGGGGCGCAGCTGGGTGGGCATGATATGGTGGCTTGCTTGGGGGCAGGGGCGGCGGCTGGACTAAAAGCGGAGGGGGTGTGGGTGAGGGAGGAGGGGAGGCTGGGCTAGGTTTCTGCTTGGAAGCAGCATGGATGTGGGCTCAGCATTAGGGACACTCCCAAATGCAGCTGTGTGTGTCCGGGTGGAAGTCACTTTCTCCCCAGTGGGGAGCGGAGCCTGCCCTCACCCCCATCAGGATGCCAGGGACATGGAGCTGTAGCTGACCCCCCTGTGGTTGCAATGGGCACACCGGGATCCAGACACTGCGCAGCCGTAGAGAGGGAGGGCACTTCATGGCTTGTAGCTCTTGGTGCCACCGAGGACCTGAGGGTATTTTCTCATATTTATTTATTTATGTGTGCTTTGGCAGCACTGTTGGAGTTGGATGTGCCAGCGAAGTGCTCTCCCAGGGCTGTATCTTGTCACAGAACCATAGAGAAGTCAGGCCGGAAGGGACCCCCAGAGGTCATCTCATCCCGTCCCACCCCACCCCCTGCCTGAGGCAGGATCACTATGCAAACCATCCCATAACAAATGACAAGCACATGTTTTCAAGGATTTTTAGGGCTCCCAGAACATAAAGGGTCTCTGAGTTTACAGGGGAGCTATCCAGGAGGCAACAGCAGTCTGAGGGGAGCAAGGTTTGGCAAATCAAGCAAGCTCATTTTTTTTTTAAGCTGCTGCATCCTAGTGAGGATGGACCAGCTCTGTTTCCAATCCCTTTCTCAGCAGAGCATAACAGGGTATGTTGATGGGCGAGCTTGCTCTGGCCTTATATACTGCACTTAGTCTCTTGTGAAATGTTTCAACAAATTGATGAGTGAGGTGAAGGGATTGTGAAATACAGTGCAAGTCAGTAGGAAATAAATACAGATAACATGATTGCTTGGCAAGGGAAAGGGAGGCATTTTACTAAGGACATGATGAAATATAAGGTCCTTTAATTATAGAAGTATTGTTTCTACTTATTCCCACCCTCCCCCCCCATATGTTTCTATGGAACTTGCCCCTGAAACATTAAGCAACTGCTGACAGATTTCTTTCCAGAAACAGAGGGTGAGAAAACAGCCCTTTATTTTTGGCAGCTTCTGGTGTTGCAGCCTTGTCAGATACATTAATTTACACTGAGCTCTTTCAGATTATTTGATTGGCACATTTCCTTCTCAGGCTCAACCCTTGACTTCTGCCAGAATGCCTTGTCTGGCTGAACTGCTGTTATATCTGCACATCAGGGCAGAGTGCTTTGTCATGACTGGGAAGCCGGAGAACCTTAGTGAAATGCCAGGCATATTACTGGCTTCTGAATTAGCTTGGGAAAGAGGTTTGAGCATCACTTTGCACATTACGAAGAACAAATCTGTTTAATGTGCAACCATGCTTGAAATTCCCCAAATGTTAGATATACGCAAATTGAGGTGACAGATAAGCCAGAAAACATTGTAAGATTGAGTAAAGCTGGTGTTTTTACAGGAAACTTTAAGAGAATTAGGTGGTTAATTTCCACTAATATTCCTTGGGATTGGGAAGCCTACAGAATATTTTCGGGTTTTCTTTGAAAATCCCAACCTAAATCAGTCAATGACCACTGCCTGGAATACTATGTGCAGTTCTCATCTCCTTACATTAAAATAAAATGAGGTAGAGAGAAACTTCCATATGGGTGAAAATCAAAAGCACGAGCCTGCATAATTTAGAGGGGAGATGCTATGGAAATGTGCAGGAAAAGAGGTAGACAGGGCAAACTTCTACAGGATACAGCAGGTGGACCTGTGTCTGCCTCAGGCCTCCACATGATGAGGAGAACTGCTGTGGTGTTGAAGTAGGGGGAATTTGCTATGATTGTGTCTTAAATTAAAATCCATTACATTTTTCATTGGAGTTTTATTTGTCTCCCATGTAACATGGCCTCCTCATAACTGGCCATATTCGTTAGGCAGACTTTGAGAGCAGATTTAAGGCAGCTGATTATCCTGGCTTCTTCATTTACATTCAGCTTGGTTCGCCTCCCTAGTTTGCCTGTCCTTTTTGGTTTCTTACAGCAGGGTCTTACTGCAAAGTCTTATCAGGGACTGCTGGTTAGTTTTGGTCCTCCAGACAATGGAAGTTCATTCTGTCTGTGTTATGGCTTTTGCTACTGTGGCAAAATTAGCTGATACTGTGGAGAAAGTGGGTATATCAAGGATGAATCTGGTTTCTAGTACTCTGATTAAACTATAAGCAAACCTGGCTTCCTAGAAGTACTAGTTCTGAGGTTGATTTGGATTAATAGAGGACTGAATATTCTGCTTTAGGATGTCTTTGATTTCTGGAGTTTTTGCCCAAAGGGTTGCATTCAGCCCAAATAGATCAACAACAATGGGGATCAAGTTGTGTAGTCTTCATATCAGAAGGCTTCCTACAGTGGATAGAGCTTTGAGAGGGAGCCACGAGCTCTTTAGGTCAGCAGTTGGAGAGCAACCGAATGTTCAAAGGTCTGGAGCAAGAGTGCTCAATGCCCAGTCTGCAGGCCAGATCTGGCCCCCAGTGCCAAGTCATCCATCCCTCACCCTGCTCCCTTTTTGCCAAATTTGCAGACCCGTAGGGAACCCTGAAGGCTGGATAACTTGGCCCCATGCACTAGATTGGGCCCTGTACTGCCCCATGCAACCAATCATGGCACTTGTGGACCTCTGGCTTTCACTGGGGAGCCAGCATTTTATTTTTATTAGGGTTTTTTTTTTTTAAGTTGGATTCTTGGGCAATCCCAGATTTAGTGGTTTCTAAAGGAGGCTAGATGAACACCTTGCTGGGGTCGTTTGACCCCAGTACTCTTTCCTGCTATGGCAGGGGGTTGGACTCGATGATCTGCTCAGGTCCCTTTCTACCCTACCGGCTATGAAACTATGAAACTTGGGGCCCCAGGGCCTGATCCTGGCATGTAGGGGCAGCCCCTGCCACTCATCTGGCCTGTAGGGCCAGAAGATCGAGCACCACTGATGTAGAGCAGTGCTTCTCAAATTTTTTAGACCCAGGAGACCCATCAGAAAATGTCAACTCTTAGTTTTCACTCATTTTTTGACTACAGGAAAATAAGAGAGCAATTTTTTTTGCAAAGAACTCAAAGATCAGAACAGGTCAGAATGTATTTAACAGTATGGACCCCTGTTGGAAATCTCTGGGTTTATCTTGTGAATCATGTTTGAACACCTAACAGTGCTAACATTGCATGGCACCCTTAAAAGGATCTCAAGATGCCTCAGGGTGGTGTGGCATCCTGGCTAAGAATCACTGGTTTGGAAAATGTGATGCAAGGAAAGACTGCAGGAATCAAGACTATGTAGCCTAGAAAAAAGAAGACAGAACAGGATCTGATAAGTCTTCAAAGGTTGTTATAGAGAAGAGGGTGATCAGTTTTTCTCTGCCTGCTGGGGACAGAACAGTCAGTAATGACTTTAAATTACCACAAGAGAGGTTTAAGTTAGATATTAGGAAGAACTTTCTAACTGGGAGTGGTTAGCAGTGAAACATATTACTTAGAGGCTGCTGAATCTCCATCTCTGGAAACTTTTAAGTGTTGGTTAGACAGACATCTATTTGGGATGGTTAAGAGATGGGTCTTCCTATCTTGACCCAAGACGTGAACTAGATGGCCTTGTGTGGTCCCTTCCACCATCTTTCTCCGTGATTCCATAGGACTACAGACATAATGCCATCTAACGTTACTTCTGTTCTACTGAATGTTTTGTTTATGGAAAATCTGAGGCAGGGTGCACGTAGTTAAAAAAAGTTCTAGTTCCATTTGATTGTCTTTGGTTTTCTTTGGCAAATAGCATTTGCATTTAGATGGCCTCTGTGAAACAAATTTGTGAGAACCTATTTCCATTTATTTCCTAGTACAGATCATGATAAAAGCTACTGCATTTAGTATTGTTAACATCTTGTAATATTCCTAGCTGAGAAGTCAATAGTTTAATCTTCTTGGAGCTACGCTCTCCCACAGAAGCAATGCCTTTCCTCTTCTGTCAGGGTAGAGGTACACTCTGCAGGTTTCACCATACTATTCTGCCAACTACTACTGTGCCTGCCTGCTAATAACTAGAAAACTTCAGGTCATGGGCAGTCAACCATATATTTTGCAAAGCCAATACATTCCCATACGTGGGTACTCAGTTTAAATCAGAGGCAGGCAATTATTTTGAGTGGAGGTCTGCTTACTGAGTTTTGGCAAGCCATCGAGGGCTGCATGATAGGCAGCCAAGGGTAGATGAATATTAATTTTCTAAATTTTTTAGGAGCCCCACGGGCTAGATAGAATAGTCTAGTGGGTCACATCTGGCCCGTGGGCTGCATTTTGCCTGCCCCTGGTTTAAATGCTATGAGACTCTAAGTTAATTATTACAATAAGGGGATTCGTTGTTGGGTGGCAGAATTCACAAATTTTATTGCCACTTTTTTCCCTTCAGTATGGGTTAACATTCAAACTGTGGCTACTGCCAAAATGTGTTCAAAATGTAAACCACATATGATTTTTGTTTGTTTGTTTGCTTTTTGTGACTTGGATATTTTGCAAGTAAAACCTTGTTTGTGAGATTGCAAGTACTTGCAATCTGTTTGGAGAAGAAGGACATGCATTTGCTTTGGAAATGATCACTGGGCCATTTTGGCTAGCTTTGAGTTCAGGAGCAATTCAATCAGAGAACAGAACTAATGTGTTCTGTACAGGGGTCCACCTGTAATGTGAAAATACGGTCAATGAACAGCAAATAATCCACTGTGTCTGCATAAAGTAATAAATTATACAGTAGAAATCAAAATGCTATCGATTGGATTGCTAACTCAAGAAATTGACCAGATTTTTTAAGTTCAACATGCTTTGGCATGGTATACTTCCTACCCCAAATTTGGGGAGCCTTCACATTAATTCTTTGAACACTTCTCTCTTCTCTGTCGCTCTAGGAATCCAAATCATGGAGAATCGAGCTGTATATTAAGTGGTATAGTACACAGACGAAACAAGTGGGGACAGATGGGAGAAGTACATACTCTAATCTTTATGACAGCTGTTTCAGGCGGTGTTTTATAGAAACAGAATAAGAAAATCTTCCAGATGGACACCAATATTTCTATTAAATAGCAGCACATTGTAGTGTGAAGCTGTCTTTGTAACAAAAGATTGAAAAATCTTTTTTTTTAAAAACAGCGTAAAGCTTACAGGCAAGGTGGGGGTGATGGTTATTAACTTGCAGTACAAAGTTTACAAAGGGAAAACTTTTAGATCTATTGCTGTGTGTCATGTTTTTTTCCTCAGGGGGAGCTTCCTAATATAAAGAATTTTAAAATCCATCCTTTTTCTTGTCCCAACAGATTTTGAAGCAAGTTTTATACGGCTGATTGACAAAGTGACCAATGGCTCTAGGATTGAAATAAATCAAACAGGTGAGTGTCTCATCTTCTCTGTCCCTGTCTTCAGTGGTACAGACAGTCCTCAGACTTACAACACAATTGGTTCCTGAAAACCGCATCTTAAGTAGAAACGCTCTAACTCGGAACTGATTTTCCCGTAGGAGACAATGTTATAAATGGGGGATTGGCTCCTGAACCAAGGCCCAATACCCTATTTTCACCAAAAATAACCCAGAATTTTGTACTCAGTCAATTATAGATGAGTAATATAGCTACATTATTGTATTTATATTGTAAATAGCAATCATATTGATTTGGAAGAACTTATTTTTAGGTGATGTTGGTGGACTTTTTGAAGAGTTCTTGACTGGAGTCTCCTCAGGAGTCTTGGCTGCAGGTTTTTGTGGAGTTTTGTCTGCTTTCTTAAAGAAAGTGTCCAAGGAAGTTTGGACAGATGTTCAACAGGAAGATGTGCAACGTAGCAAACTTGTTCACTGACTGGGCGTTGTGTTGGATCAAGTGTCGTAAAGTCGAAACTGATGTCAGAAAGTTGAAACAGGGTGTCAATTTATAAACATTGTAACTCGAAACGTTGTAAGTCAAGGACTGGTTGTATGTTACTTGCAATTGTGTAAACATGACCTGTTTGGGGGAGGCAGGCAGGCAGGCTAGATGGTAGCTCCGTTCTCAGAAGATTATAGGTCAGGAACAGGAAGTAGTTGTTCATATCCCAGGAAGTCAGTGTTCCACCAAAATGCGGTGTGTTAAGGAAAATATTTCTCAGAACTTGACATTTTCAGGCGGGAAGAGCAGGGTTGGTTTGTTTCATAATTTTAATTGCTGTTATCACTGATTCATCAGAGTAGCCCTTCAAGGGTTTACCTGTATCAGCAACTTGATACAGCAGGTGTCTGTGTCTGTTTCTGAGTCTGTGTCTGTAGCTTCTTCCACCTCCCTACCAACATAGGCAAAACTGGATTAAGTTGTTTCCAGTGCAAGTTCTGTTTGATACCAACAGTAGATGTCCCATCTCTACGGGAATTACTACACAAATAGGAAAATGCTAATGTGCAGAAGCCCTGAGTCTCAGTGCTGACTCTATTTGTAATATAGTTCATTGAAGACATGGTTGTCCTTTTTTTTTGCATGTGATCTAAAGTTTAGACCCAATTTGTTTGTGCCATTAAGGAACCCACTCCATAAAAATCAGTAGCGATATCCTTTAATCTGTGTTTCAATTCTGTTAGCCCCCAACATCTATGAAACTTAAATAGTCACCTCTCTCTTCTTCCTCTGACCTGCAGCATGGTAGTGACCTTCCACTGCAAAAATTATTGTGTTTTTTAATGAAGAGGTGGAACAAGCATACTTCTTTTCTTCCCCTTAATAGTCAGCTTCATCTGGATTAGTAAATATGGTAGGGTTTGAAGAGTAAAGTTCCTAGGATATGGCATTTGTGGTAGGGTCTCTTCCTTCTTTCCTTGAGTATTTGTCAGAAAAAGCCTTCTAGAAGGGAGAAAGAAGTCCTAATGTTTTAACTTCTGTATCTGCCTTAATCCCTAGGCTAAGGGAGCAAATGTCTTGTCCCATTGCCCTGCCCCAGAAGGCTAAGTCTACTGTTTACTCTGATCAGTGTTGAGAAAGGACATAGATGTGGCCTGAATTCAGAAGTAATGTGCTTTATTCAGGCTGCAGTGTTTGTCATGTGGAAGAGTCCACATGAACTGGGAGGAAAAAAAGGATTTTTTTTAGGAGATGGGGTTTAAAAATGTTTATGCAAGTCCAAAAGAGGGTTTGTTTTTAGAAAAAAACCATTCCCCTCTAAAAAATTATGCTCTCTCTGTGTTGTTATAGAAGTGACTTCCTAGACTCTGCCTTCCCTCAGCCCAGCCTTTTCAGTTTAACTTCAGTAGGAATTGTGCTTATGTAAATATGGCACAGAATTAATGAAACAGGTGATCTCACAGCATACACTCCATCATGAATCTGCACTGCCGCCTTTGGGACAGTAATAGCATGGCTATCTTGGAAGGTGAAGGCATTCACTGGTCTTTGTCATGGTGACTAAGAAATTCCTTGATTGATGGGTAAAGCAGGTGCATGGTGCAAAAAATCGGACACCCCATGCCCCAGCTCCTGAGTGCTTAGGACTGCTGATTGAGTCACTGAGCTAAATGGGGTTGGGAGGAATTTACTGGAATTGATGCCTTGGCTGCTGTGGTAAATTCCTCTCTGTTTAAGCATTGATGTGGTGGGGATATTGCTGCAGAGCTGAGAGTCTGTTATACTTTTTGTCTGTAGTGTGGCATTGATGCTTTGTTTTCTTCTGCCCTCTGTAGGAACCACGTTATATTATCAACCCGGCCTTCTATATGGGGGTTCCTTGGAACATGACTGCAGCCCCAACCGTAGCATTGGTTATTATTTGGAAAGTCTGTTGTGCCTGGCACCTTTTGTGAAGCATCCATTAAGAATTATCCTCAGGGGAGTAACAAATGATCAAGTTGATCCTTCAGTAAGTAATGAAACTACATTAAGTTCCAAAACAATTCCTGCTTTCCTCCCTGTCCAAATAACTCTTTAAACAATGTGTTTTCAAGTTGGATTGCCTGTGCTTCAAATGACATTATTGCATCTTGGGGAGGAGGGAAGCCTTCCAGTTTATTAGTTTAAATTTCAGCCTCCATGCCCTTTCTGGTTGTTATATGCTTTTCTTTAGAAATGCTGCCCCATCACCCTCCCTCTTCTACAGGCAATATGGTGGGTTATCGTGCAACAGGGAAGCCTTATCCTGTAACAGAAAAGCAGAATGGCTCCTTAAGAGAAAGGGTTTTGTTAACCAGACAAAGGCAGCCAGGCAGGCTGGGGTTAATAAGCATTCTTGCCAGCAGGTCAGCTGAAAGGGCACATGACCAGAAGTGGGCAGGGCTCTGAGCCTATAAGCCCTGGCTAGAGCCAGAGCCAACAGTCTGTCTTTGGAAATGGAAGGGGAAAGAGCCCTGCAGGGCTGGTGGTGGGGGAGGTGCTGCCTGCTGAGGACCGATTGAGCACGCCATGCCTGGAAACAGCACAGAAGCCTGAGCTCTAAAAGGAGCTCCTGGCAGCAGAGGGTTAATGGCTCTACAGATTTGGGAACAGGGGAAAGCTGTCCAGGACAGAGAGCTTCTTTGGGCAGGAAGGTGTTCCTTATTTAATGTTAAACCCAGAGAGCATTTGCGTGCCTGCCAGTAGGCATAGGTGTTTTGTTTTAAAACTACACTGGTGGTTTAGCCCTGAGTCCAGAGAACTGGTAGCCCAGGAGGAGCTAAAAATCCAGGGGGACCACAGCTAGAGACCGCCAGAGTTGGGGAGCCCAGAGACCTCGACTGGCTCAGGAGCAGGGCCAGTGGCCAGGAGGGGCCAAAGGTCCAAGAGGGACCATTGCCAGAGACTGGTGGGGTCAGGGACCTGAAGTTAGGGAGACAGGAGCCTAGAAGCCGGGTCTGATAGTACGGGCCTGGGCTGAAAGGCCCCACGAGATCAGCCTCCTCTCCTTATGCTAAGGCCAAGACCCCTTCAAGGCGAACAACTATAAAATAACATCTGTGAGGCTCATGGCATGGTGAAGGGCAGTGGTCACCAACCCAGGGATCCTGATCTACAGGTGGATCCCAGAGCCTCTTTTGGTAGATTCTGGGCTGGGGGCACACCTGGGTGTGTATGCATGTGCACACCCGCTACCCCACAGCCCCATCAGATCAATCTGTCGGGGCGGGGGGTGTGGTAGATCCTTTAGTTCCAAAAAGTGATCTTCACCATAAAAAGGTTGGAGACCACTGGTATAGGGACAGAATAGAGCCACACAATTAGCCCTTAAAGCATTGACCATGAGCACCTGGTGGTCATTAGAGTAAGATTTAGATTGGGAAGCCCTGGGACATAGGTGACTGGTGCCTCCCAAGTGTGGTGGGGCACCAGATCAGCAGGGGGGGGTGTTCCACGGCCGATTGCCGAGCCAGTGGCGAAACCAGAAGTGCACTTCCACCAGCACTTCCAGTTTCGTGGCTGGTGCTTCCAGGGGGTGTGCAGCTGATCTTGAGGGGTTCACATGCACCCGTGTGCACCCCCTATGCGTCACCAATGCCCTGAGACAGCCTCCTTTATAAAAACAAAACATCAAGGCATGGCAGGAGAGAAAAGGGGTGACTGCCCAAGGAGAGCTGAGTGAGCAAGAACTCCAGGTGCTTTATGGCCACCCCTGGAAGGCTCCTTGTTACATACCATTACATGATGCCTGGTTACTTGATCCAACCACCAAGACTAAATTTCCCAGCTGGGACTTGATAACAAGTCAACATATTGCTCTTGACGAAGTCGTAAGGCCAGATAGGGGTTAATGGTACTTGCACCCTCTAGATAGGTTTGAAAATCCTGCCAGGCAGCTACCTGTACCTTTAGTTCATAGTATCATAGTATCGTAGTAGCTAGGGCCAGGAGGGACCTGAACAGATCATTTAGCCTGCCCCCCTGCCACAGGCAGGAATGAATGCTGGGTTCACAAGACCCCAGACAGGTGATCGTCCAACCTCCTCTTGAATTTGCCCAAGGTAGGGGCGAGGACCACTTCCCTGGGAAGTTGGTTCCAGATTTTGGCCACCCTAACTGTAAAATATTGCCTTTTGATCTCTAACTTAAACCTATTCTCCATCAGCTTATTACCATTGTTCCTTGTCACCCCAGGTGGTGCTGGGGAGAAAAGGGCTCTACCTTTTTGCTGTTGATCTCCCCTGATGAGCTTGTAGGCAGCCACCAGGTCCCCCCTCAGCCTTCTCTTGCAGAGGCTGAACAGGTTCAGGTCCCTCAGTCTCTCCTCATAGGGCCTGCCCTGCTGCCCTCTCACCAAGCAGGTAACCCTCCTCTGAACCCTCTCCAGGCTGGCCACATCCCTTTTGAAGGGCAGCGTCCAGTACTGGATGCAGTACTCCCACTGCGACCTGACCAAAGTCGCATAGAGGGGGAATATCACTTCTCTGGACCGTCTTGAGATGCACCTTTGGATGCGTGACAAGGTATGGGTGGCCTTGCTGACTGCGCATTGGCGGCTCATGTTCATCTTGGAGTCAATAATGACTCCAAGATCCCTTTCCCCCTCTGTGCTTTCAAGAGGGGACCCCCCTAGCCTGTATGTATGCTGTGGATTCCTTCTCCCAAGGTGCAGCACCCTGCATTTGTCTACATTGAACCCCATCCTATTCTCATCTGCCCACTTTTGTAGTCTGTCTAAATCTAGTTTGAGCCTCTTTCTCCCTTCAAGTGTGTCCACCTCGCCCCACACTTTCATGTCATCAGCAAACGTGGACAGCGTGCTTTCCACCCCCTCGTCCAAGTCACTGATGACGATGTTAAGCAGTGCAGGCCCGAGGACCGAGCCCTGGGGTACCCCACTGCTCACATCTCACCAGGTTGAGTACAACCCGTCCACCACTACTCTCTGAGTGCGCCCCATCAGCCAATTTTTTCCCCATCCAACTGTGTAGTCATCAATGCCACAGTCGCTTAATTTATTGATGAGGATGGGGTGAGAGACAGTGTCAAAAGCCTTCTTAAAGTCTAGAAAGACTACGTCCATGGCAACACCATCATCCAAGGATTTAGTTACTTGGTCATAAAAGGTAATCAGGTAGTTATTTAAATATCCATAAGAATCTGCCCTATAATCCAGGTTTCTTGAGGGTCAGGGTACATTTTTGAGAGAGGGATCATGTAGGATGCCATGAGTAGTTGATAAACATTATTTCTCTACAGAAGTATATTCTGCATCCTTACTGTGTTATGTTTTCAGTAAACACAAAGCAGCGGCTGTGGAGGTTAGTGCAGTTGTTTCATTGCTTGACCCCTGCTGCTGACATGTCCCCAGTGGGCCTCTGTACCTGGGACTTTCGGCCCCTTCTTACCCTACCCCTGAATTTTTAGTGCTTCTGGGAGCCTTTTGGGCCAGATGACACAGTCCTGCAACCCACAGACTGTACGTTTAACACCCCTCATGTAAACAAATTTGTAACACTGAAAACTGTCTAGACTTGTGAGATCGTCTCAATGGTCTTCCCCAATTTATTCTGCCAATAAACATGAAAGAATAAGCAGGATAAAGACAGAAAGAATTGTGGGAGGCTGGGAGGAAAAGATGACTGGAACAAAGGGAAGAAAGGCTGGACTTTAAAGGTAGTGGGGACGAATAAATCAAAAATAGGGAAAACATGAGGAAGGAAGGAGAAAACACACTTGAGAAATTGGGTTTGGTTTAGTACAGGAAATGCAGCAGAAAAAACAGTGTTCAGGGGAAATTTGGAAAAACAAAGAAACAGAGGCCAAGATGGAACAGAAATCAAAGTGAAAGAAGAGAGAATAAAACAGAGGGAAACAGAATAGTATTTCCCACCCGCAACCCCCTTCTCAGCCTTTTCACCGAACATCTAATAAGAGTGGTTTTATTCTGTTTTGACACGTATAACTACCCTCAGTTTATGGCTTCCTCCAAACCAGTATGTCCTTGCATCCTGCTCCAGACTCAAGTTTCTTCCAGGCCTGTGCTACAGCTTTCCTGAGCTGTCTTTCTAGGTTTCATGTTGGGTCCTGCCATTTGGCTCCAGCCAGCTTGCTTTCTTCATCCTAGAAGATCAGATGAGCTGATTCTCCAGAGCACCATAAAAGATTAAATTGTGCCTGAATCTTTTTGTGGTGGGGGTGAAGGAGGGAATGCATTTGAAACAGAAATCTTTCTTACTGTTTGAATTGGGCAGAATTACACTGATGTTAAAATGAAGCCCACAAACCATTTGAAACAAAGGTCATGCAACAGTAACTCGATTATAGCAGCAGAAATATTGTGCATAATTTACTTAACTGCCTTCCAGTTACAAATCGGTTCACAGAAAGGAAACAGCCTGATTCTTCAGGGGAGAAAAAAGCTGAAAGGAACAAAAGTTCAAATAACTGTATGAAATTAACCATCGTTGCCATGAACTGCATTCGTAATGGTTTACAGTCCTCCATTTTAATAGTCCCATTGCAGAAATGGGCTAAGGAAATCATATGGGTAAAAGGCTGAGGTAATGTCCTTTTAAAAACTCTTAACTCTTGGGGAAGAGCACTGGTATCTTCATTTCAAATTTTGGTTGGAGGCTGCCTTCTTTGACTTCTTTGTCAACTGGAAATCTAGTTAGTTTAAAATAAAAAAGCTATTAATATATTTTCAGATGTTAGACCCCCTGCTGGCATTTATGGCTTTACGGCTTCATTTTTCTGTCATTTTTAAATGTGTTCTTTCCTTTATTCCTTTGTAAAACACCCACACAAAACTGCTTATACACAAAGTACTGTCAAAACCAACAGAGTGAAATTGAAAAAAGGCATTTCTCTAATCTTTCAGATGCTGTAATTTTAGGTATTAATTGAAACAAGTTAATACCTATATAAAAGACTTCTTTAGTTAGCTATGTCCCCTTAGCTGTAATGGATAGGATTTTCCCTGTAGAA